CAGCACATTGGGGTCGTGTTCATAGTTAATATTATTAAGTGTTGGCTTTTTATTTTTTATTATTAAGGCCTCTATTATTTCTAATCTTTTTTTCTACCTTGTCTGTCATCTTTAATGAAAGATGTATAAATGAAGGATTGCTACCTAAATACACAATATATATAAGTAAATAAACACTAAAATAGTTGTTTCAAATCATATGCGTTAAAAACTGCCCAACAAGAAAAAGAAAAAAAAATGCAGATGATTTTGGCTAGATTGAAAAAAAAATTCTTTCAAAAAGTATTCTTTCAAAACATTTTGAAACTACGTATTCTCTCACTTTTTTTTTTTTCATGTCAACAATATATAATTTAACTATATTGTCAGCATAAAAAAAAAAAATCCCTTATTATAAAGGTAATATTAACCAGAAAAAAAAGGCTTAGACAGAAGCGTCTATCATTTTAAATTTAGATTTTTTAATGTAACTATAACAACAGAAACATTTTGATTTCATTTTTGCCCTGAAAAAGTCGGAAAATGAAACATGTCGGCAAAATCTAAGTTTTTTTTCCAATTGTTATTTTATACCAAAATAAAAGGCCTTTATTTTAACATACACAATTCACATATCCCTTCCTGCTACATATTCTTTTCTAGTATATTCCACCTTTAGTAGCATTTAATTATAAATTTACCTGTTAAATTATTCCAGTCCTTAAAGTATGTTGTCTCTTCATGATTAAAAAGTTCTTTAAAGACCAAATTCTTTTTACAAGTGGCAATAAAGTTGACTGTGCGAAAAAAAAAAAAAAAAAAAAAAAGAAAAAGCTCTAGATTATTCATGCAGAAAACACAAACAATGCAGTTGTAAAAATACTGCTGTCATTCTTTGACAGTACGATAACTGAGGGGTTGAGGGAAGATGGAAAAGACCTGTTGAAATTAAAGATATCCAACGAATAAAGAGAGGGGGAAAAAGAGAGAGAGAAAGAGAAAGAGAAAGAGAGAGAGAGAAAGAGAGAGAAAGAGAGAAAGAGAGAGAGAGAAAGAGAGAGAGAGAGAAAGAGAGAGAAAGAGAGAGAGAGAGAGAGAGAGAGAGAGAGAGAAAAAAGAGAGAGAGAGAAAAGAGAGAGAGAAAGAGAGAGAGAAAGAAAGAGAGAGAAAGAGAAAGAGAGAGAGAGAAAAAAGAGAGAGAAAGAAAGAGAGAGAGAGAAAGAAAGAGAGAGAGAAAAAAAGAGAGAGAGAAAGAGAGAGAGAGAGAGGAGAAGAGAGAGAAGAGAGAGAGAGAGAAGAGAGAGAGAAGAGAGAGAGAGAAGAGAGAGAGAGAAGAGAGAGAGAGAGAGAGAGAGAGAGAGAGGAGAGAGAGAGAGGAGAAGAGAGAGAGAGGAGAAGAGAGAGAGGGAAAAGAGAGAGAGAGAAAGAGAGAGAGAGAGAAGAGAGAGAGAGAGGAGAAGAGAGAGAGAGAGAGGAGAGAGAGAGAGAGAGAGGAAAGGGAGAGAGAGAGAAGAGAGAAAAAGAAGAGAGAGAGAAAAGAGAAGAGAGAAAAGAGAATAAAAAAATAGAAGGAAAAAAAGTGAGGTTTAAGTCACTTTCAAATTAAAATTCCTTTAGGAAGAAAAACAAGAGAAAGAAAGTAAAAAGTGGTACACTGAATATATTTAAAGTGAATAATTGATGTGGTTTTTACATCTTAGGGAGAATGTGGGTGGATATTTTCAGGCTGTCCCATAGCTTAACACTGTCACTGACACTTCCCTGCCCTGACCACTTTTATATAATGAGTGGTGATTGAATTCAGGAAGAAAGGAAAGTCTCGGAAATATTTCTGTGATGAGAAAGAAGCAGAAATAAAATCTATGTTAAACTTTGCTTCATACAAAACCAAATATTTGAAAAACTGTCTATTTTATCTATTAGCAAGAACATGGGACATACACACATTTGTCTATTTGGCCAACAATTCATATTTGATGATATTTATAAGTTTGTTTTTTTTTATTACAAAGTATATCTGGTATTAAAACTTATTTTTACACAAGTTTGGGTGTTAACTATTTGCCCATAGTTGGGACCCTAACAAGTGCTACCAACCCAGGTCAGGGTGGACCTGGGAACACCAGCAATTAAGAGGCAGTTCCACACTCCTCAAAATAAATGAAAATAGAATACAACATTTTTTTTCTTATATAGGATAAATGCGATATTAACATGTCTGAAGAAATGTCCTATTGGAAATAATATAAATAATGTATAGTGGATCAATTGCTAGGTCTACTGCTAGGAAAGTTCATTCACTGTGCCATGCCAGATAATTTTTCTTGTCAGAATCCATCTTGCATGTTTATAAATTGACCATTCGTCTGTCTATTGAATAAGGCTGCTATATCTGGTTTATTCTATCTAGAGATTCTTGACAAAATACTATTTTTTTTCTTGTATACAAACAAGTGTTTTCTTTTCTGAACACAATTGGTGTGAAAATTGTTCAAAAGTTAGTACTTTTGGCTAATCTATTAGCCATTTTCAAAGATTTTAGTTTTATATGCGTATGTAGACAAAAAAAATAAATAAATAAATAAATTAAGGGGCTTCTTTTAAGAGAGTGATGCAAATATATAAGCATACTAAAGGATTGAGTTTTTTTTACGACTTAAAACTTTGTATGTCATTTAATGCCAAAATTTGAAATTTTAAGAATATTTGTGATATAATGATTTTTCCAGACACAAATCATCCTATTTAACCCATAGCTGGGTGGGAAGAAAGGTATTTGTACATAAATGAACATATTGTGCATAAATGACATATTGAGCCTGACTGGAATTTGAACTCTGCTCTCCAATTTCTCATTTCAAGCCACTATCCATTACACCACATGCACATCCTACTGAGAAATACCAAACAAGTTTTACAATGTCTTGAAATGACCCTCCTCAGGTTTAGGAATTAAGAGGAGTCTTTTTTTCTGGATTGTTTGCCAACCACAGCTACAGACCCCTGTATGCCCAGCTATTAAACACATACACAGCTATGGGGAGAAGATAGAGACTCATACTTTTCCCCAGGGCTGGAGAAGAGAGAAATGTGCGCACCATTTCCCATGACCAGAGAAGGGAGGGATGCACACACCTTTCTCCAGGGCACAGAAAAGAAGGACATACATTTTTTCCTGGGTTTGAGAAGAGATGTATTTGTACCTTTCCCAGGGCATATTTGCATGTAAATGACAGTAAAGAACAGGACTGGAATTTGAACTCTTAATTTCTCATTCTGAGCCACTATCCATTACACCACCTGCACATCCATGCTGAAAAATGGTAGTTTCTCCGCTTGCATTCCTCTAGCCTACCACTTGCTATCAATGCACTTGGGTGCATCCGTTTTCGCCACCATGTTCTTTATAGTTCTCTAATCCACTGGGGGTTGGTTGTCTGAATGTAAATCTGTCCATTAACCAGCCAAGGCATGACGGCTTTGCAATGCATTCCTTATTAAGCAGATGCTTTGTAACTGGGTTGAACAAATTGAGAGAGAAAAAGATGCATCTAAAGAAATTTTAAAAAAAAAAACAGAAAAGAGATATATTCATGAGCAGAGAGTGAGGGAGATCTAAATTGACAATGATAGACATCAGTGAGGGGGGGGATAGCAGGTAGGCTGCCAATGGCTAGCCATAAAGTAAATGGGAGAGCTGATGGGGAGTGAAATAAGAATTTAAGATTTATGCCAATGAGAGGGCTTACAGAGTTTGAGATGTTTGATAGGCAATTTTTGAGAATGTATTCATAGAAAAAAAAGATAAAGCTAAACTATATATAAAAAGCTGTGTGTGTGTGTGTGTGTGTGTGTGTGTGTGTGTGTGTGTGTGTGTGTGTGTGTGTGTGCGTATAAACTTCACTATATCCATAGGATTGTTTATTTTCATGGTTTATCAACCCTTTGCAGTTTTATTTAAAGTTGAAACATTTTGGAGCTTAAGAACAGTTGTTTTGCTGAGCTTTCCACCTTATTGCCTTGACTGCATGAATTTAAGCCTGCGACTAGATTGGCAATTAGGTCTCACCATATTATCTAAATAAAAAAAGGAAAATTATTACAATCTAAAAATATTTTCTGGCTTTAAATAACCTGCAAAGGGTTGATAAGACAGAAAACAAATCAATCCATCTACTATTTTACCTACAGTTGGTAGTAGATGGTTGCATGCCTTTCCCAAAAGGAATTAGTCCAAAGTGACAGAATTTGAATGTGGCTAGAATTTGAACTTGGCCAATCAATTCTAATTTTCCTAACAATATTTAATACTTTACCCCTACAGGATATAGACGATCATGGCTCTCCATAGTCCTGCTTTTAGTCTGGCTACTATCCAGGGCTAGAGAGCCCAATCTATCCTCTTATTTAACCCAATTTCTTCATGTCTTAGGAGACAGCTTACCTGTTGCTTTCTCCATAGTTATCCTTCTCCTAGACTGGCTACCATCCAAGGCTAAAGTGTCCAATTTTCTTTTAGAAAATGTCAGAACCCTTAGAAAATATCAGCTCACCACGGATTCTGTGAATTGATGAATTCTTGGTAAAAGATCATAGTTGTTTTCCCCAGTTTTTAATTCAGTGGTTTTTATCATCTTAAACGTATATTATGGTAAGTAATGGACACTACATTGCTATTATTTGAAACAATCCAATTATAAATGAAAAAGTGTTTTCTCCGTGTCTTAAACAACATCACCCCACTGGTTAATGAAATGAATGGCCAAGGACAATAAGCTCTCAGTGTTGAGTACCAGACGTGGGTTAGCTATAGACAGTGGATACATCTTAAAATGGCCACTTTAAATAGAAATTCTACATCGACATATATGGCATAGATATATTTCATTAGCAGCCAGAAGGTATTTGTTGATCTATCTTTGTTGCTTAGTTAGAGTGTAGGGATTAACATGAACATTGCAATAAAAAGCAACAATAATGAAATGGAAGATAAAGCATTTTCAAGATTAATTTTGACTAGTTTAGTAGAGGAAGAGAAGAGGAGAGAGAGAGAAGAGAAAAGGCGGCAGGGAGAGAGAGAGAGAGAAGAGAAAAGAGGAGAGAGAGAGAGAAAGAGCGGCAGGGAGAGAGAGAGAGAGAAGAGAAAAGCAGGGGAGAGAGAGAGAAGAGGGCAGGGGAGAGAGAGAGAGAAGAGAAAAGGCAAGCAGGAGAGAGAAGAGAAGAGAGAGAGGAGAGAAGAGAGAGAGAAAAGGAGAGGAGAGAGAGAGAAGAGAAAAGGCGGGGGGAGAGAGAGAGAAGAGAAAAGGCAGGAGAGAGAGAGAGAGAAGAGAAAGGCGGGAGGGAGAGAGAGAGAGAGAAGAGAAAAAGGAGAGGCAGGGAGAGAGAGAGAGAAGAGAAAAGGCGGCAGGGAGAGAGAGAGAGAGAAGAGAAAAGGCGGCAGGGAGAGAGAGAGAGAGAAGAGAAAGGGCAGGGAGAGAGAGAGAGAAGAGAAAGGCGGGAGAGAGAGAGAGAGAGAAGAGAAAAGGGCGGTAGGGAGAGAGAGAGAGAAGAGAAAAGGCGGCAGGGAGAGAGAGAGAAGAGAAAAGGCGGCAGGGAGAGAGAGAGAGAAGAAAAGGCGGCAGGGAGAGAGAGAGAGAAGAGAAAAGGCGGCAGGGAGAGAGAGAGAGAAGAGAAAAGGGCGGAGGGAGAGAGAGAGAGAGAAGAGAAAGGCGCAGGGAGAGAGAGAGAGAAGAGAAAAGGCATGGTAGGAGAGGAGAGAGAGAGGCAGGAGAGAGAGAGAGAAGGAAAAGGGCAGGGAGAGAGAGAGAAGAGAAAGAGAAGCAGCAGGGGAGAGAGAGAGAGAAAAGAGGGAGAGAGAAGAGAAGAGAAAGGCGGGGAGAGAGAGAGAGAGAAGGCGGGGGAGAGAGAGAAGAGAAGGGAGAGAGAGAGAGAAGAGAAAAGGCGGCAGGGGAGAGAGAGAGGCAGGGAGGGAGAGAGAGAGAAGAGAAAAGGGAGGAGAGAGAGAGAAGAGAAAAGGCGGCAGGGAGAGAGAGAGAGAGAAGAGAAAAAGGGAGAGAGAGAGAAACAGTGGGGAGAGAGAGAGAAGAGAAAAAGGGAGAGAGAGAAGAGCAGGGGGGAGAGAGAGAGAAGAGAAAAGTGCAGGGGAGAGAGAGAAGAGAAAAGGCGGCAGGGAGAGAGAGAGAAGAGAAAAGGCGGCAGGGAGAGAGAGAGAAAAAAAGGGAAGGCAAAGTCATAAAAAGAGGAAGGAGGGAGAAAGTGATAGAACAGATGGATGCTTCATGCTTAGAGAAGGCTGTATCTACAGAGAGAATATCCCTTATTTTAACCCCCACTCACCAAACCCTAATACCCTCACCATTTTTTGGTCTGCCTGATTTTATACTCTACAAGTGAAAGAAGCAGGTTAATGATCTGCAACACATACAAAAATGGAAGACTTAGAAAAAAAAAAAAAAATATCTGTGACTCACCAAACGTTGCCAATATTCCTGACAGATCCACATACAAGAGAAACACCGAGTCCCCCCCCCTTCCTACTTCCATACAAAAAGGTGTGCATTATCTATCCGCATTTATAAAGATATACAGAAAGAAAAAAATTTTACCCTGTACATACAGAAGATTTTACAAGTACATTCTTGTATTGACTGCTTAGCACAGAGAAATTTTTTATTCTTGTAATATTTCAAATTATTGTTTTCATCTTGGTCGATATAGATGTTATATCTACATTTCTGTACAAAAGTAAGTAAACACCTAACATAATATTAAAAAAAATTGTCTCTTTTTTCAGATAATCAACAAATCTTAAACTATATATTCATTAAAAAAACCTTTATTAAATGAATTACAATGACTTAAAATTATTTTTTATCAAGATGGCATGAAAAAATTAATATTAAGATGTGCAAAATTAAGCGAATCCTTACATTTACACTGTACTTTTGTTTTATATGGTTGCCAGAACACAAATGATTTTTTGCATACTTGTAATAGTCAAAATGACACCTGTTCATTCTTTTGGTAATCTGTGTATACTGCAGTCTACCAATATAAATCATTGTGTATACTAAAAGGTGCAGTTAGAGACTAAATTTTTAAAAAAATATGTCAAGATGAAAAGAACTTCCTGAAGCTTTATAAAAAAAAAAAAAAATCAAGGAAAAAACAGGAAAAAAAAAGAAAAAAAAAAACAACAAAAAAAAAAAAAAAAAAAAAAAAAAAAAAAAAAAAAAAAAACAGATAAAACAGAAAAAAAAAAAAAAAAAAGAAAAAAAAATTGCATAGTTGAAGCCTATAATGATGTAGAAAGCTACAAAAAACTCAAAACAATTTGGAGTGACTGTATCTACCGTGTGACAAATTATTTATAAATAGAAGTCCTTAAAAAAATCACTGCAAGTAGACATCTAGTTCGGCAAGCCCAGGCGAATCCTGCTGTGACCTCTGCGGTTCTCCAAGACTCTCTGGCCAATGTTGGAATCAATGTGCATATGTCTACAGTGCACAAAGTCTGAATAATGCCAGTGTCTCAAGAAGAAAAAAAATAAAAAACCACCAAAAAGCCACTGCTTATGAAAAAGCACAAACAAGCTCAGTTCAACTAAGCCAAAGTTCATTAATAAGCTAGAAACATACTGGCAAAAGATTTTACGGTTGGAAGAGATAAAGCTAGAGCTTTTTGGATGAACAATAGGCTGAGGGTCTGGTGAGCTACTAATATGGATTTTGAATAGAAGAATTTGGTGCCAATAGTTAAACATGGCAGCAACAGCATTATGATTTGTCACAGCAGAACAGGCAAAATAGTACACATTGATGCCACAATGGACTCTGCAAGATACCAAGCAATTTTCAATGAAAGTGTCTTGCCTTTGGTACAAAAATTGGGTTGATGTTGAGTCTGGGTCTGGTCAATGATTAAAGCAAATCCATAAAAGAATGTGTTCGAATGAGGAAATTTCAAGTCTTGGAATGGACTAGTCAAAGTTCTGATCTAAACCCAATTGAAAATCTGTGGTTCAAATTAAAGGCAATACATGCAAGAATCTCAGGTAATATTGAGCAATTATGAGAATTTTGCCAGGAAGAAAAATGGTAAAAAATTGACGATCCTACTGCCAGAAACTTCTTAAAAAGACTGAGTGATATCATAAGGAGGAATCACTAAATATTAAACGTAAGAGTTCACTTACTTTTGCACGTCTTAATTAATAATTCAGCTATTTGATATTGATTAAAAGAAAAAAACAGTTTCATAAAAATTTGTGGAAGTGGTTGTAATTCATTTAATAATGTTTCTCTTAATGAATATATAGTTTAAGAAATTATTGATTATCCGAGAAAAAGAGACAAATTTTTTTAATATTTTAGGGGTTCACTTACTTTTGCACAACACATATATCACACACCATTTCAGGCAACTAGAGGCAGTGTAATGGTTAGCAAGCTTGTCTCGCTAGCATAATTACGTCAAGCTTGTCTCGTTAGCATAATGAGTAGTGAGTTCGATCCTCACTGGGTTCCCCATACTTTCGGCCTTGCGCCACATCTAAGCTACGCTTGGGGGGGGGGAGAAATCACTATATCCCAAACCATTTCGACCAAATACACTCTGGTCATCATCACGTGTCCAGTGATTGGCTGATATAGGATATCTGTTGATTGTAATTCCCGCCTCCCCTCTATAACATCATTTATTGTTCATTCCTGCTGAATTGGAGTTTCACTACCTGATCCAAGAATTGTACTCATGACCACTAGATATTTCATATCAGCCAATCAATGGACACCTGATGATGACCAAAGGGTACTTTATCGAAACATTATGTCAATAACAATATCTATATTAACCAAGATGAGGACAATAATTTGAAATAATACAAGAATATTAATGGTTGCTATGTCATTAAAATAACAAACTCAACCAATTTAGTACATACTGATTCTTAATTTTATTACTATTAAGGAGAGAGAACAATAAAACAGGAATTAAGACATAATGATTGATATTGCATTTAAATATTTGAAGATTAAAGTTGATTGGGAAGCAAGAAGCCGGAAGAAAACTCAAGTGAGAAGTACAAGAGAAACTTAGCATAGAACTTACAGTTACAACTGTAAAATGCTAAGACCTCGATGCCAGTCTAGTATTGCACTAGAGTTCATAAAGTTGAGGTACAAAAGAATAAAGCTAATCAGAACAATTACCATGAAAATATTTATAGAAAAACACAAGGAAGCTATGGTAACGGGGAAGTGAGCAATGCTGAGATGCCAGGTCAGGACTGATAACATTGCAAATACCTGTGTTGGAATTCATTTAATTTTGAAAATGTTGAATTTGTTTTGTTTGAAACATCTTTGTAAATGATGCAGTTTTTTAATAGTTATAACAAAGTCACTCCTCCAGCTACAAATTGGTGACCAACACCACCTAATGTAAAATGTAGTACTATTCAATACAAGACAGAATTAAGACATTAAGGTGTATTGATAAGGAATTTGTTTGAAAAAAACATTAAGAGAATATCAAGATTTGCAGCTGTTTCTCTGCAAATCAAACAGTAAGTGTATATTTCTGAGATGAGGTATTGTAACTATTTACATTGTTGTCCTTATTATTGTTATATTCATGATGTTTCAGCCATTGTACTCTCTGGCCTTCTTCAGGATCTGTCTATTTCCAAGATGAGGTATTGTAACTATTTACACTATTTAAATAGTTTGAACTTTATTGTCATATTCATGACATTTCAGCTGTTGTACGCTCTGGTGTTCTTCAGGTGATATGCATTGGAACTGCAAACCGAACCCTTTATTTCATCCGCCAATGTAGATAGTTCCACATGCCATGCCTTTTCTGGATATCTCAGTTCCAGTTATTTCCCTTTAGTAACTCAACTCTCCTAGTTTTTGTTCACCTCTGTTGTGGCCAGGTATTGAACTCACAACTCATTGGGTTAAGTCACTGGATAATTTCCAACCAATGCTTTTATCCACTGAGCCATGTATTCTAGGAATTTTGAGTTACTATTGGGAAATAACTGAAACTGGGATATCCAGAAAAGGAATGGCATGTGGAACTAGAACAATCTACCCAAGTGAACGAAATAAAGGATTCTGTTCAAAATTCCAACATGTGTGTGTGTGTGTGTGTGTGTATATATATATATATATATATATATATATATATATATATATATATATATATCTCGCCTGAAGAAGGTTGGTTTGGTTTATTTTGTTTAACGGCATATCACCCTCAATGGGTTATTTAATGCCGACAGCATTTTTTTATTGCTGGTAATATTTTCTTTTGTCAGAAATCTGTTTCTGGTAATATATTTCCTTCAAAATTGTATTGTATTGCTGGTAATAGTTAACTATTTACCCATATCTAGGACCCTAACAGGTGCTACTACCCCGGTTCAGGGTGGACCTGGGAATACCAGCAATTAAGAGGTGGTTCCACGCTCCTCAAAACCTCCTGATCAGAGGCCTTGCTGCTGGACGTAGTTTATCCGTCTTACCCAGGACGCGAATGTAGTTTAATGTCTTACCCAGAACGATGAAGAAGGTTGGAGCATACAATAACCGAAACATCGTGAACATAACAAAGATGAGGAAAACAGTTCAAACAATGTAAATAGAGTAAAAAGTAAACTTAGTAAGAAATATGGAATAATTAAGCAAAAAGAGGATTATTGCAAAATGTTGCATGTTAGCTTGAAAATGTCTGTTAAAAAGCCGAAACTGAATCATAGTAGGAACTATATCAATGACAATATACATTTAAATTTGTCCTAAAATATCTTCAGAAAGGATTTCAACCGCAAAATAAGAGAATGTTAAAGTTGTGCTTTCAATCAAAAACTGACCTTAGAAATAAATCTATGGTATTCCAGCTTAAAGACTGACTGAAAAATACGAGGCCAGCTGGAAACAAAAAGTGACTTTTTTTTTTTTTTAATGAAGTATAAACTTGACAAAAGTACCAAAGAAAGCATTTGAAAACACTACTTGATAATATGTTAAATGTCTTTGAGAAAATTACTTTTTTCTGCAATATTTTTTTTTTTTTTTAAACAATTTTGGTATCCAATAATTTGGAAAAAAGCGTCCCAGTAATCAAAGTAGTACAGTAGATGAGCATTAATGAAAATGGTACCAAATCTAGTCTTCACTATTGCCATTCTCTCCTAAAAAAAAAAAATAAATAAAATAAAATAAA